ATACTTTTACAGAATTTCAAGTCTTTATTAAACAGAAAAGTTGTATGATAGGGTTAATAAGTCTCTGAAAATCATGAACACTATACGCATTATTCGAAATTAAAAACTTTTTTTGTATATATATATATTAAGTAACTAGCTCATAAATCTTGTGATGAAATGCACTTAATGAAACTTACAAATCTAGTTAGTTGTAGCTTCCCGACGCCACATATTAAATTATTTGTTTAGTTGCGGGATTGTATTGATAGTTTATCATTAGATTGCATAAAATAACAACAACCTACTAAAAACATACTTTTCATTTATCATGACAAGATTTATCAAGCAATGTAGGATAAATAAATATAGATAATTTTTTAAAAGGAAAACACCGGATATGAAGATATCATGGGACTGCATGGACTGACTGGGAGAAAGGGATGGGAATAGTGACATATTTGCGAATTCATGTGCCTTCAACAAAATTGTTGTAGGCAGAACAATATTCTCACACAAATGCATACACAAAGCCACATGAGCCTCCTTGGGTCACACAACAGAGAATCATGTTTTTATCACTACGAGATTCAGAAGGTCAATTGAAGACGTGAGAACGAGGAGAGGAGCTGACATGGCTTCAGATGAGAACCCGGTTTCGACCAGTATGAAAGTGAAACTAAAGAAACACCAGACAACTGGGTGAACAGCATTATAAAGGTCAGATACAGCTTGCCTTTAAGTCACTAACAAACCCAACGAATTAAAGATAACTCTCAATGTTAGGTTCCAAACCTTACAGGATCTACTGAAAGAAGATTAAACTACTATGGAAGACAACTGAATAGGGATCAGAAAAGCACCAACTTCGACGTGTCAGGAGGTGCTGGACATCATGAGGCATCATCACAGAGAGTGGATCTCTATGGAAACCCTGCAAAAGATTCAAGAAACGAAGAACAAGTAGCTAGCAATTAACAAAGGTCAAATAAGAATAGAGAAAGTCCAAGCACAAGCTGAATACACTAAAGCAAAAAAGTGAGTCAAGAACGGTATTGGAGCGGACGAGCGTAAATATGTGAAAACCCAACAACGACAGTGGAAAAAGCTCTAAGTGAAGGAAATATCAAACAACTAAATGACACTACGAAGGAACTGTCAGGGAAATGTGGTAAACCAGAAAGACCAGTCAAGAACGTAGAAGGCAATTCAATCACTGAAATTCAAGAACAGAGAAACAGTTGGGTAGAACACTCCGAGGAACTCTTGAATAGACCAGCTCCATTGAACCCACCGAACAACGAAGCAACACCTATCGAGGTTCCTATAGATGTCCCTCCACCAACGGTCGAAAAAATCAGGATGGCTCTCAGACAAATGGAGAATGGGAGAGCAGCATGATTTGACAATATACCAGCTGAAGCACACTGTTGTCAGTACAAGGAAAGGTTTTCAACACAGTGCTGACGAACCAGATGAAAGATTCAGTAGTCGTTCGGCGTTGAGATCAACAAACCGGTTTCCGTAAGGATCAGTCGTGCACAGACCAAATCGTGACACCACGGGTAATTGCTGAATAATCAAATGAATGGAACTCGTCACTACGCATCAACTTCCTTGACTATCAGAAAGCGTTTGACGGTGTGAATCGGAGGACTGCATAGAAACCTATTCGATACTATGTAGTGGGTAGCTGAGATTTTCAATATCATCTGAAATTCATACGATGGACTGCAGTGCAAAGTCGTGCATGGAGAATGGGTGACAGATGCGTTTTAGTGAGGATCGGAGTCAGAAATGGCTCCTCAAATACAACACAGAGGACACCAACTCAGTCACACTTGATGGATAAGGTATTGAATGAGTGGAATCTTTCACATACCTGGACCGCATCATGGATGAACGTGGAGGATATGATGAAGATGTGAAGGCGAGGATTGGCAAACTGAGGGCAGCATTTCTACAATTGAAGAACACCTGGAACTCAAAACAACTGTCAAACAATATCAAAGCCACAATCTTCGATACGAATGTCAAGACGGTTCAAGTATTTATGAACAGTTGTCTACGCAAGATATTCAATGTCCGTTGTCCGGAAACCATCAGCAACAGCCTACTGTGGGAGAGAAGAAACCAGCTTCTAGCTGAAGAGGAAATTAGGAAAAGACGTTGGAAGTGGATAGGAGACACTGAGGAAGTCGCCAAACTGCATCACGAGACAAGCGCTTAGCTGTAATTCTGAAGGTAAACAAAACAGAGGTTGGCCGAAGAACACACTATGTCGATAATTGGGAGCAGATGTGAGAAGGATGGATAGCAAATGGAAAAGAGTGGAAAAGATTGCTTAGTACATAGTTTGATGTAGAATGGTTGTGGGCGATCTTTAGTCGTTCACGAAGAGCAACGTGCGTAAGTAATTAATCATAACTGGTTATTTTTATTAGTGAAGAATTAAAAATTCTTGGTAACTAAGAAAAATCAATGCAAAATCAACGAAAGATAATTTACAAAATCGATACTCCTCAACGTATATTGGGCTTTCGATATGTAAACCTTAACTTGAATGAGAGTAATAATGATGAACATTTTTCAGAACTAAGTAACTATGCAATAGAAAATAATAAAAAGTAAATAGGCTTTTTGAAATTAAAATATCGACGCCTTATCTATAGTGTGACATAACAGTTAAAAATGTGTTATTTTCACCAACAATGATATATTATATATAATCAAATAGTTACCAAGTTTGGTTTACTGAATATCAAGATAACTAACGGTGGTTAGAAACTTCGTAAAGTGTTACGTCAGTTAAACAAAGTGTACGAATAAAAACAATGATATTTATAAAGTTACACCATAAAAACAGAACACCTATTTCTTAATCTAAGACTAATAAATTGCTTATTGGTTTTTGGGTTCCTCAATATACTGATTCTTGAGGCAAAATATGGTGATCTGTCATCACAATTGTGATCAAAGCTTGTGGTTTACTCATTCATCTAACAGTTTTTTAGATCAATCACCATGTTCTCCTGTTAGACTCAATTACACATAATTTTAAGACATTTTTAAATGAATTGAATTGAGACACATAAATGGATTCACTCCATAAAGGTCATTTTCGCTTCTAAATAAAGACGTCGTAATTATTTTCATTAAAATCAAATATAGGATGCCGGATTTGATTTAAAAACATCCACTGCTTGAGACAAATGTGCTTAGGCTGATGCGGATATATACTTCTACATTTTTCAAAGTTTTGGAGTTAGAGGCAAGTGTATCAATCTTTGAGATGGTTAAATATGAAAGTTAGTTGCATCGCATTTAAAGCTATTGCGGAAAATCTGGGAAAACTATTTGGATTTGGATTAAAACTGCGACTGATTCAAATGCTTTTGCAAATATTTCAGTAATACAGTTATAAGTTTACATTTAACGGATTTACTTAAAATGTATTCATAAAATCATGCAACCACTATAATCCAACGCCATATGAATTCTAGAAAGTAGTTAGGTATAAAACAATTCCATAGTCATGTTTCAAATTATTCTCTAAAGTTTCTGTATCATCAAACTAGGTAAGCCAAAATATAAATAAGAGGAATATTAAGCGCTCGGTAAATAAGGTAAATAATTTATTCAACCTTCACTCATTTGTTGCCCAAATATATCTTTTGGACATAATCTTTTTCTAATGAAATGCGAAATTCATTAACATTGAACAAATATGATTGACAGAACTAAAAGTAATCAAAATGGAACAAGTCAGGCTAATCTCTGGACAGAGAATGTATGGCCACAAAAGTTAAGCTAAATTCACTGTAATACTTTCCAAAATATGACAAAACTTCTTCTTGGAAAGTTTTGTCTTTTTTAATTTTTCAGTCATAATCAAGTTCCTCAAATATAAAGTCTCCAGCCCATTCGAAAAACCACTTGTTTGTAATTGCAACTTGCTTTACTGTCTTAAATTCTTAAATTAAGAACTGTGTATGTTAACTTCATGCGTGTAAAAAAATAGTCCACAACCTCCTGTGATGCCTAATACAGAAAACTTTAACCCTAAGCATCACAGTGAGTGATATATCCATGTTTTGGAGAGACGACTGAGTATTTATGTGCAATTCACATATGAAATATCTGTTATTTCACATGCAATGTCTTGTTGAGAAAAAAACATCGAGAAGTCGTACAGATAAAGGTGAACTTTAATTAGTTCTGTTAAAAAACACACATATCACTGAATAATTACAAGTTACACTGATATAAAATTCAAACTCGTGTTATTACTGTTGAATTATTCGTTATAATCAAACATGGGACATATAACAAATGATCGTAAGTGCAAATAGTTGTTTCACAGCCCTCCTATTGAATATGGATGGAGGAATATTTAATATTTAATAGTTTTTTAGAATAAACACACTTTCGGTTCTAACCAGAAAATGAATTTTTCGTTCAATGAAGACGTTTTAGCTTGTTTCACTTTCGTATTTTAGTGATAGGTTCCATTTACTCTTTACTGATACGCACAACCTCCGTATTATTAAAGGTACTTTTTCCAAATCCCACTGAACTGTGTACCAAGTATCTTATTATGCACTTACTCTTGAAGGTTCACTAATTTGTCAGCTAAGATCATTATATATAAACAGTGAGGTCATGGAAAATGCAACCACATAATTAAGGATATTTCATGCTAAAATCGTAAGACTCGTAAACACAGACACCTTTAACCAATTTTTGCTCTACTATGTGTGCCGTCATTTTTTTCTTGTAAATACTTGAGTTATAAAAAATTAACGCCGTTTATTGAAATGTTTATAATCAACATCCTTTTATTAACAAAGAGTATAAAACAAAAATCTAAACCCATATACTTGCGTGAAGAAGAGAACCTTCTGAAAAATTGCAAATAACACGGATGGTTACTCACCATCAGGAATCAAAATAGCTCCAAAGTCTTAAATGAACTTAAGTAGTAGAATTATTAAACTTAACGAAATTAAAATTACACTTACTTGAAACAATATCGCTGTGGCATGACAGAATGGGTAAGCTCGTGGAACAATAGGTGCGTCCTGCCAAACTAACCAGGACATTCTACCGGCTACAGGTTTTCGGGAATCTTTAACGGCGGTTAGTATCGTCGCAATAAGCACAAACATGTCGGCTATTGCTAAGGAAATGAGGTAAGTGTTGGTGGTTGAGGCCCCGATGGCTCGCCTTGTCAATACAATCAGAGATAAAAAGTTTCCAACGAGGCCAATGCAGCAAACACTTATCATTGATACACCTACAATATAGTAGCTAATAAGTTCTTTTTCCCAATCGTTAAGTGACGAAATGACTAACGGAATCTCAGACAAGCCATCTGGGTTAGAACTATTAGGTAGCATTGACCCAACGTATTCTGTAGAAATTGGCGTGTAAACGGTGTTTTTGAGGGTCATTTCGACTAAATATCTTCTCGCTGTATCCCGAAATCGTGAATAATTTGTTATATCAAAAGAACTCGAAGAGGCTACGGCCATGACATTGTTGAAGGGTGCATGTAATTACATCAAGTAGCCGAATTTTTTTCTCAATCAGTCATTATAAAATATCCACATTTTAACTCAAAAATCCAACGATTTTGAAAATTCGACATATTCCAGAATAAACCCGGATTACGAATTTTTTCAGTGACTTGCAAAGCTTTTATTCTGGTATTTTGAACTTTGATTCCATGCAAACATGAGTGGTTACTTTGTATAATAAATCACATTCACAGTGGACACACGGAATATAAACATGAATTTAACGACCCCCCTTGCAAACTGCCTGCAAATGATAATTATTATTTGGTGTAATAAAACAAAATATTTTATGCGATCTTTCACAATTAGCGTCAATCGATTTAGGTTATAAACCAATTGCTTATTACGCAGTCATGTTATGAGGGAATATTTTTAGCTATTTAAATATATGAATATATGTTAGCAGCAAGAAAAGCGGCTTATTCCACATAATAAACACCAAAGAACATAAAAGATCGTGGTAGCTAATGGCGCGTACATCTTAAAGAGAGAAGAGTGATCATTTTATCATGAAGCCAGTACTTTTACCTCTCAAGATCAAGAGAAATGAAGTCTTGTTAATCCGTTAGGTTCTGTAATGAAGTTGTAATGGTGAATATATCCACAATGTAAATTGTTATAAAAGCCTTTGAAATTGATCCTGACCCCCTTAGTTTATCAAGCACACTCCAAATGAAGACAGTTGGTCGCTCATCCGCGCCAGATCACAAGTGGGCATGCTGTGCTACGCATCGCAGGAAACTACGAGCACACATGTTTTTGTGTTTATATACAATGAATGCTATTAAAGGTTATCATTTAGTCTTATCTAAACATTCAAAGTAGACAATAACATTAGGGTGACATATCAGTCTCGTTTTCAGATTCATTCACACAAGGATGGATATTCTTAGGGGTGTAGCAGGAGTATTTGCTAAGAATGTAAGACTCCGGGGAACTCAGCCTATTGAGATAATCCCCCGCAACTGGTCCTCATCAGTTTTGTTTTAGCACATCCATGGAGAACATGACAAACCTTTGTAAGATTGTGTACAGAAAAAGCAAACATTTTGTGGAACATATGAAGTAAGTATTTCCTTATCGTGCATTGCTCTTATCAACCCCCGCCTCATTTTTTTCGACTATAATTAACCTCCAACAAGGATGCTGAGTCCGTATTAATAACTTCAATCATAGATAGCGCTTATAACTCGTTGTGACTATTGTTCAAGACTACTCGCCTTTTTAATTCAATATAATGAAAACTCAGTGTAATATTTGCTTTAATTAAGGAGTGACACTTTACTCATTATAACATTGGTTTATTTCAGCGTGATGTTTATTCAAAATATGATATTCTTTATGTTGAACTTATGTGAATAGCATTCAGTGTGACATTTTGTGTAAAATTATGTCATAATTTTATTTAATTAGTAATCAACTAGGTGTAAAAATCAATACATGAATTAATGTATTTTCAACCAGGGGTTTCATAATTTTTGGGATAAATGAATCTTAATTTGTATCGGTCTCTTGTTTTCTTACTTCGCGTCATGAGGATATGAGTGTTCCCTCGTTTTCAAGCGCAAGTAATCGGCGACGAGGACATAACATAATGACAGACAGAATTCAAGTGCAATAAAAAAGAATAGATACCAGACTGAGCTGAAGTGGTAAGATGTTATGTGGACGGCTGCATTTCCACCCCTCAACTCGTTTACGCTCCGACTAAAAAAACGCTAGTATGTTATAATGGAGCAACAGTCAACAGTCACCGCAAATCACCACTGAAGCTGTATATAAACTGACGCAGAAGATTCACACTTGCCTTTGAATACTTGGTGGAAGTTAGTGAAGGTCAGTAACGCTGCGATATTATTGTCAAGATTGCATGACTCAGTTATGTAGGCGTGGTCATCATTTTATACTATACACATATTATACTGTCAATAGCGTGGATGTGTCTTCAAAAGTTTGTTGTCAACGCTACCTCCGACTGTCACTGCTGGTCAGTGATCTGACAATGATGTAAGATAACATAGATTTAACATTCGCAAAATATTATGTTTTAATAGTTCAGGTAGCGTGGCTAACTGCCCGAATACCGACCGCCTAGTGAGGAAAATTCAAACAAATGTGCAAACTGTATCTACGCTTATTGTTGGTCTCTAGACAGTCGTAATTAGCATTGTCGCTGAAGAACATTTATTGTATTAGTGACTAAAACTTGCGATCGGTCTCAACTCTATCTAGTTTCTAACTCTGACCGCTACCGAATTGAGTTTTGGCTCTGGTTTTCATACTGAGTAGTAGCTGGGTTGTCATGATGTGACTACATATTCTATAAGATCTTCTGTGGAAGTCACATCATTGTCTATTCTGACTCATATCATGACAATCAAGAATATGATTCTTAGCACTTCTGAATAACACATTTGGACCGTGTATAGAATAATATATTTAATGTAAACAGTAGTAAGTTACACAAGCATGATTACGCTTACAAGGCCGAGCCACGCCTTAACGAACAACTGTTCCTGCCTTCACCATTACCGATATCCTACAATTATTACATACGAAGTGACAATCTCAGTGATTACATGTTCAGCTTCGGGAATCGTGCGGTTAGGAATTAATATCACTACAAACCTTTGTATCTGTTACAGCATAACTACATTAGAACTTCTTCATTTGTAGAGTAAAAATGCCAGTTATCAAGGGGTTGTAATTATTCGTTGTAAGGTGTCAAGTTATAATTAACATGATAGTGATAAAATGAATCGTCTGCATAAAATGCATAGTTGCAGAATTTTGTCTCGTTAACTGAGATATCAATCATAAATTTGTGTGAATATAATGTGCAACGAGAGGGGTAATTGAAATAGAAAATTCATGTGAGTTCAGAATGATGAATTTCTACATCAACAAACATGCAAACACCAATAGAACTGAGGGAATAAGACTTTTAAAATACGCAGCTTAGATAATTAATGATCCAGTGGGCCGGGGTAAACACAGAAACTTAACATACCCCTTTTCGTATGCAGAAGTTAGGCTTTCTGAAATTAATTCAGATGACTTGAGTTATGCAGACGAGTTGTAATATAACTCATTTAAGTAGGCTGTTCGGAACTTGGTACGTACAGAAAGCCACATTAGTTTCAACGTGATATTAACCATCCTCCAAATAAGAAAAGATTACGCTGTTAATATATTTCAAGGCTCATTGTCGAATCCATGCCGATACATGTTTGGGAGTACACATAGATAAAGCCTTCTGAGTTTGGCCTATGTAGCTAGCTCCACAGGAGTGGTTCAGCCGATATGCACAGATGGATTAGCTCATCATCAGTGGCCTATCCTTGAATCGCTGTTCAAAAAATAGTTAAGTAGAGAACATTACATGTAACTTGGGGACGTGAAATATCCTTTCAACAGATCTTTTGGTTCCACCAGTTAAAATGTTACCCGCCTTATCCCATGCAAAACTGAGTAGCAGATAAGTGGTTTTCTTGTTGACTGTGTCGCAGTCCGTGATATTTTTCTGTTCTGAAAGATGTTTTCTGACGAAGCTATCTGGAGAGCACCTTTTGGTTTATCTCAACTGTCATGAAAATGCAATAGCTTTATTCAGTTGCTAAGACACTTGACCAGATTTATTTTGTTCTGAAGGGTTATAAAGTCATGAAAGTGGGTGTAACAACCAGTTCATTTATTCTTTTTGAACCAATATCTTTGTATGAATCCGTCTATCCTTCCAGAAAGCAAGACATCTGGGGAAGTCGAGCTTCTTTGTCACGCTCCTCATTGATGAATTTAGTAGCTGAGTGGACATCGTCGAAATCGTTCAGCAGCTCTTGTTTGTTGATACTTTTGTTACACGACATTAGTAATCCAGATTATTCATGGTGTCATTCGACGGCCCATATAACAGTTTGACTAGGAAAATATTAACAATTACTGGGGCTCCGAGAGACCTCATTTCTACTCTACCTAATTATCTTTAAAGTTCGTCAAACACGTAGGGATATTCATTGTGCAGTTCAACAGTAACCCCTTCGTTTTACATATTGTAATAGGTTTATGTATTTTTTTCTAGCAGTTGTCCATTTATGTAATCGGTTATTTCCGTCACTGGAACGTTAGTAAACAAAGATGTTATGTCTAGTGATAACATGGTTTCGCCTTTTACATTTATAATTTTTATTATATTCGCAAATTCAAATACGTCTTTAACTCTGTACTCAACTAAGTCTTGGTGTAATGGTTCTTGTAAGTTGGCAAACTATTCTGCCGTTGGATGATATGGTTATTTTGACATGTTTAGAATTGGACGTAAAACAATCTCTGGTTTATGAACCCTAATTAAGTTAGAGAGAAAAGAGATGTATATTCTTGAAGACTTGAGCCCGTTACAAATATACTTAAAAATGTTTTGGTGTTGTTTCGAAAGTCTTATTGCCGTAGTTAATTGATATTCGGTCTTTCCAATGAAATCTTTACATCACCCAAGCTTTCCGAATATACTTTGATCACTCAGTGAGAAGTTAATCTTATGTGTCTTATCCGTCTTATCTAGAATCAGTATCGAATTATACTGAAACAAAGATTCAGTAAAACATTTATGGTCACAAATAAAGCACTTGAGGCGAAATATATTTCCAACAATCTTATCACACATATAGTTGTTATGAACACTTATATATGAAAAATAAAAAGGTTAACCAGACGAGTGGAAAATAAGAAAAAACAGAAATAACTAGAAAAATGTGGTCGAAAAGTGAGAAAATCGCTGTGTTTGTTGATAAAACTATACTTCCAGGGTACGTTTAGGGTAAGAACAGACTGTTTTGGAACTCGCAAAGAGGGGTTTCCATTTTCGTACGCTCAAGGCTCCAGTAAGCCTCATTATGCACCCCTGAACAACTTTGTACAAAGCCACAAAACTCAAGTCAACATCAATTTTGTGACCTGTTTCAACTAAGTGTTTAGCAATAGATGACGACGGATTTTTATCATCTACTCTTACTGAGTCATTTGATTCCATCTGTTTTTCAAACCATTTAAAATCATGCTCAAAATCTCCAACCTGAAAAATTACAATTGATCCTATCTGTGTATGTGGCCTCACACGCATGTAGAATATTAAAAACAGTGGGATTTAGTCAAAATTACATTCCATCTCAGCTTTCGGTGAAGCGTTGATTGACTTCTGAATGGTAGGTGATGTAGACAGGCTTTCTCGATACCGAAAGCGTGGTAGGTCTCACTGCAATGTGACTTTTCCATCGACTTATGAATTTTATAAAATAACTATTCCCCATCGGCGTTTTGTTAAATGACTCCATTCCTTCATCAGTTGTATTGCATGCACGAATGCTGATTTAGGAATTGAAGGAGGTTGTAACGACCGAACAGCCAATATTCGGTTGGAACAACGGACTGACGAACCCAAAATTTATTCGATTAGACCAGACCAAGTTCCTCTGTATAGCTCACAACGCGTCTTTGAGATACTCGTATTATATTATATCAAAACACAAACTCTGTGCTCAATATAAACGGTTCTAATTAAGAAAACAGAACAAATTACATCAAAAATACAAAATACCTCAAACGGTACAGCCTGTGCTATACAGTCAGAAGTTTCTCTAACGCAAAGTAGCGCGCTAAACAATGAAAGAGACAGTTAATACTAAAGGGTTTGATACCTGAGAATCAATACAAATATTCCCAATAAGATGGGATCAAATATCTATCTGCAGGGATTGCAGCAATTCTCCCAAGCAGACAGTCAGAAGGTTAACAGTCACAAAATGAACCACGCCGTGACCTTGAGCTTAGTCAAACACAACCTTACTGTCAATGGTCCGGCAACATGCAATAGAAAATTAGGTAACAAAATAAGTCTTTAATCAAAATCACATAATAAAGGCTCAAACGGGGAAGATTGAAGAACCAAAGACATGGTTAGACGAGATCGAAACAAAGGTTGGAATACACAAAAGGGATAAGGAACAAATAAATGAAAATACTGTTCAACAGAGAAGCTGCAAAGGGATTTTCACTGTTCTCTTTCCGTTACACCGGCCCCCAAAATCCCTCCAGCTACGCAAAGATACCTTAGAATACATTTCTGTCATGGCTCTCCTTACTAACTGCTCTATATCAATGGGAGGCACAGGACTTACAACAGTACGCCTGTACATCCATAAACCTAAGCTACAATCTACAATTACTCGGCTCCCTCTAGAAGACAGAGCTTTCGCACATCTCTTCTTACTACACCTTCTCTCATTCGCACCATCACTGTTCTTACCAACCCATCTCTATCTGTCTCGCACTTATCAACCCGTCCCATTGGCCATGAGCCCCGAGTAGTTGGATCGTTAGCCACTAGAACTACATCACCTTCTTTTAAGTTTCTGTGTTTGCAAAACCATTTCTGCCTCACTTGCAGTAAAGGAATGTACTCTTTTATCCATCGACGCCAGAAGGTATTGGCTAAACAATTAACCTGTCTCCATCGCTTTGAATACCTATCCGCAACACTACACTCCATTCCTAAACCATCACAGTCTCTTAGTAATAACAAAGTGTTTGGTGTGAGCGCCAAATCATCCTTTTCATCTGACGTCACAGGAACGATTGGGCGGTTGTTTAAAATTCGTTCTACCTCCACAAAATAAGTTGCCAAACTATCATCGTGTAATATTTGCCCGTTGGAAATAGATAGTAATATCCTCCGAACAGACCGTATTAATCTCTCCCAAACTCCGCCTCGATGGCTAGCTAGTGGGGGGTTGAAATGCCAGCGTATACCCTTCGATACTGTTAAGTCGTTTATTTTATGCTTGTCCCACACACTCATATTAGCCCGTAATTCGGAAGTAGCCCCGACAAAGTTAGTTCCATTGTCGCTATAGATTTCCTTAGGAGTTCCTCTCCTTCCTATGAAACGCATTAAAGCCATTATAAAAGCATCAGTACTCAAATTGAAAGCTACTTCCAAATGTACGGCACGTGTTTGGAGACACGTAAATAGGCATCCATATCTTTTTTCCACACTTCTTCCCCGACGAACTATCAACGGCCCAAAATAGTCTATCCCGACGGAGGAGAAGCAAAACCAGCCTTGCTGCACTCGACACTTGGGGAGAGGTGCCATCATCTGTTGGCCTAATGTGGCTTTTGCGCGTATACACCTCACACATCTACCTATCACTCTTTTAACTGCACTGGTTCCTTTAACAATCCAATAATTTCGTCGTATGGTAGCTAACACTTGTGATGTCCCGGTGTGACCTTCTAGGTGGTGATGGTGTCTAATAATAAGTTCTGTTACGAAGTGATGACTGGGTAAAATTACTGGATGTCTGATTGAGAGTGGATAATCCGAGTAATTTAATCGTCCGCCGACACAAAGCAATCCATCGATTAGCGTAGGTGAAAGATTTTTTAGCTCTTTTATATCAGTTGCGCTTACGCCATTGCATCGAGACACTTTTACTGCTTCCCCATACACTTCCTTTTGCACTAAGGCTAATACCTTGTGTTTAGCTGCATCCAATTCATCAACTGACAGATAGCCCACACTTAGGGACCTGTCATTGTGACGGGAGTACATGATGGTTATATAGGTCACGTATCTTCTGAGCCATGCTACTGCTTTAATCAGCTTTATCCAATTTGAGTGATATAGCAGAACTGGACTTAAGCTATGTTTTTTCGCAACTACGTTGGTCGTGTGACATCTTTTAAATTCAACATTTTCTGGGGGGTTTTCGCACATAAGCGTTAGTGTTCCTACAGACTCCCTCTTCCTCAAGAAGGAAGGACCCTCAATCCAGTTCTTTAAATCTAGCTCCTTCCGTATGCCTCGTGATGTCCAGTCAGCGGGATTTTCATTAGATTCTACGTGCCCCCACTGGTCCACAGATGTTAAATGATGAATAGCGGCCAGACGATTAGCCACGAAGGTGGAATATCTACTATCTGTATTTTTTATATAGTACAGTACTATCATAGAATCCGTCCAGAAGTGAGTCTTGTCAAACACCTGAGGAAGGTTCCTATTTAAAACTTCCCCCATTCTAGCACTCAATACTGCCGCTGCTAGTTCCAGTCTAGGCACAGTCACCTGTTTTATAGGTGCCACTCTAGACTTACTATAGAGTAGAACGCTGTATGGTGCTTGGTGCTTAGGGATGTTCCACGAGTAAGCTACCGCACCGTAACCAGATTCGGAGGCGTCACAAAATAAATGCAGCTCAATCGCCTTAAAGTTCTTTCTGTTTCCATTTATAATGCTTCGAGGAACACTGATCGTTCCGAGCCTCCGCACAAACGTGACCCATTCGTTCCACGAGGACACAACACTATCACTCGGAGGCTGGTCCCAACCGATACGCGTTTTACAAAGATTCTGTAAAAGTTGTTTAGCAGGAAGGTATATTGGAGCTATCAAGCCCAGTGGATCGAAAAGAGATGAAATGGTAGATAGTATTCCTCTCCTAGTCGGGGTTTTTTCCCCTGGATCAAAACGAAAATTAAAAACATCGTGTGTGGTGTCCCATTCAATGCCGAGGGCTCGATGTGTCGGCCCTTGATTCAGAGACATATCAACAATCGCTTCCATACTATCAGAATGCGGAAAAACTTTCCTTGTGATTTCCGAGTTAGTCACCCATTTTTTCAACTTGAAACCTCCTCGGGCCATCAATTCATTTAGTTGTACCACAAAACTTTTCGCATCTTCATCATTGGGAAAGGATACTAGGCAATCATCCACATAAAAGTTGTTCAGTACCGATTCCCCTACGCTGCTATCATAGTCACTAGAGAACTTTTGAGCCGTCTTCATCAATGCAAAGTTTGCACAGAAGGGTGAGGATATTGCCCCGAAGGGATGTGATGTCATCTGATACTCCACCGGTTCCTTCTCGATATCACCCTTCGGCCACCAAAGGAAACGTAGCGCTCCACAGTCGGGCTTCGAGACCTTTACTTGCATGAACATTTCTTCCACATCCGCGGAAACGGCAACCGGTTCCCTGCGGAAACGTAACAGGATCCCGACTAAACATGCTGTAGTATCTGGACCTTGATAAAGAAGGTCATTCAAGGATTTACCAGCCACCTTAGCAGCACAATCCAATACCACTCTCACTCTGCTTGGTTTTCTGGGGTTAATCACTGCATGATGAGGCAAGTACCATTTTGGACGATAACCCGGATCGAGTTGCATACCTGGAACCACAACCGCATACCCTTTGTCAATCGTCTGCTGCATGGCACATGTGTAGCTTTCCCGAAAGTCCTTATTGCATGTGAGTCTACGTCTTAGACTTTCTAATCTTCGCCTAGCTAGATCATAGCTACCGGAGACTACATTTCTCTCCACTCTCCAAGGTAAAGGGACAATCCAATGACCCTCGTCAAAATAAGTGTCGCGCTCCACTATGCTAACTGCTTTCAAGTCATTTAAAGATAATGCTTTATCGGAGGAGTGCACGTCAGCAAATTCGTAGTTATATATTTCCTTTAACTGCTCTACAGGGTTGTCAGATTGAGAAATATAATTTACCATCCTTTTACTGTTTTTGCTAAAACCTGCCGGTCCAAACAGAACCCATCCTAGGAGTGTCCTAATAGCATATGGGCTTTTTCTTCCACCCAATCTTTGATCTAGGACCCAATGCGCTTCAGGCACGTCACAACCAATAAGTAACATAACTTCACCATCCACTGATTCTGTCCAAGGTAAGTCAATAAGATGAGGCCATTTCTTGGCGCTGTCCTTCACAGGTACTCTTGGTCGATGCACCGGCAAATCATCTACCACAACAGCCTGTTCAATACATATGCATTCGTCTCCGTTCAATGAGTAAGCTTTAAAGGCTTTAGTGGTCGATCTGCTTAACTTATTTCCGTTGACCGTTTTGATGGTAATCGACGCACCATCTGACGATAATCCTAAACGTCGTACGGTACTTAACTTGATTAGGGTCGTATCTGAGCCATTGTCTAGAAACGCATATCCAGAAACTTCCTTGTCCCCAGCTCTAAGGCGTACAGGGATCAGACCCAGAAACACATCCTCTTTTAATGACTCTGTGTACCCACAATGACTTTCTTTTAAGCACTCACTCGACCCACTCTGAACTCGGATGGTTTTATGCAACGATGGGTGATGCCGATCCCGACAACCTTCGACAGTACACACAACACGATCTTTACAATCCACAGATCTGTGGCCCCTTCGAAGACAACAATAACACAAGCCCTTTTCTTTTGCTTTCGCCCACTTATCGTTGACTGCTAAGGTTGAAAACTGGAAACATTTATCCACACTATGAGTTTCTCCGCACATAACACAAGGTGACTTGCTAACGATTTTACCGAACGACAGACCTTGTGTGGAACAGGCCACCTTGCTTGCAGCTCGTTTACTAGCAGTTGCAATCTGTCCGAATCTGCTAAGCAATATTTCCGCTCTAGATGACACAAATTCTGTTAATTCAGCAAAAGTAGGCTCTCTTCCATTTGCTGTTACCTTTCCTACTGTCTCAGCCCATCTCATCTGTAAAACCGTGGGCAACTTCTTTACTATACTTTCTATTGTCACTACGGAGTTGAGATCCGCTGAATAATCCATTTGTTCTAAGGTTATAGAACAGTTTTCCATCTTTATCGCTAGTCTAGATAGACTTTCTGCGTCATTATGCGCAATATCAGGACCTTCAGTTAAATCTTTCATCAAAGCCCGACATATTTCGTGTGTTCTACCGAACAACCGTTTCAATATATCGCGCGCTCTACGATAGCCCGACGATGGTGGAAGCATTATGCATTCCTCTATGGCCTCTCGAGCCTTGCCTTTACAATAATGTAACAAGTACAACAGCCGTTGACCATCGTCTTCAACCTTGGAAACCACATATAAATCAAATTGTCTAATAAATTTCCAGTATTTAGCTGGTTGTCCTTCAAAGGTACTTAGCTCTACCTTTGGAAGTTCAAGACCTACACTAAGAGATTCCAAGGTCACTTCCTTCCTCTTCGTTTCCGGATAATCTAGCAGTTTTGACTTTTCTAGAGACTTTGTCCTAAGGTTATGAGGACTTACGAACCTGTGAACGTGCTCCTTTTCTCTGTCATCACAGTTAGAAACAGAAGATAACTTACTACACACGCTTTCGTTCAGCCTTAACGACCCAAACTCTCTCTGAAAGCGCAGTAGTTGTTTCGTCTGCCTATCTTTCAAGTCTCTCATTTCTGATAACTGTCTTTCCTTCAACTCTGCTAAGGTTATCCTAGAGCTAACTTTACTACGTCTACTTACTAAACTAACATTAGAGCCATGACATGAAAATGCATCTAATTTGACTTGCCGTATATCTGGAGGTGCGTCCGATTGCATTTCTCCGTGGCCCAATGCCAAGTTTTCGTTGACCTTATTGCGCTTTCCAGGCATTCCAGAATTTGTCACTTGAGATTACTGTTCGTTTGAGAACTGTAACGACCGAACAGCCAATATTCGGTTGGAACAACGGACTGACGAACCCAAAATTTATTCGATTAGACCAGACCAAGTTCCTCTGTATAGCTCACAACGCGTCTTTGAGATACTCGTATTATATTATATCAAAACACAAACTCTGTGCTCAATATAAACGGTTCTAATTAAGAAAACAGAACAAATTACATCAAAAATACAAAATACCTCAAACGGTACAGCCTGTGCTATACAGTCAGAAGTTTCTCTAACGCAAAGTAGCGCGCTAAACAATGAAAGAGACAGTTAATACTAAAGGGTTTGATACCTGAGAATCAATACAAATATTCCCAATAAGATGGGATCAAATATCTATCTGCAGGGATTGCAGCAATTCTCCCAAGCAGACAGTCAGAAGGTTAACAGTCACAAAATGAACCACGCCGTGACCTTGAGCTTAGTCAAACACAACCTTACTGTCAATGGTCCGGCAACATGCAATAGAAAATTAGGTAACAAAATAAGTCTTTAATCAAAATCACATAATAAAGGCTCAAACGGGGAAGATTGAAGAACCAAAGACATGGTTAGACGAGATCGAAACAAAGGTTGGAATACACAAAAGGGATAAGGAACAAATAAATGAAAATACTGTTCAACAGAGAAGCTGCAAAGGGATTTTCACTGTTCTCTTTCCGTTACAGAGGTCATGTCGTTACAGTCAGTCTCTTAGCATATAAGGATACTTTGATGTCTATGAATTTGAGAAATAATCATTCTATATCAGTTCCGGGGGTAGAGTTTAAACGCTTACCCACATAACTTCAGTGATATCTAGAATAACTGAAAAAGTAGTGGAGACGGAGGTAGTCCAACATCTAGTTACTAATAACCTGATCTCGATCTCACAGCATGGATTTCTTAGATCTAGATCATGCGGTAATTGCCTAGTAGACTACCTGAGTGATATAACTCTGAAACGAGACAAAGGACTCCTTGTATCAGTCCTATTCTTAGTCCTTAAGAAAGCCTTTGATAAGGTCCCACACAAAAGGCTTTTCTTCAAACTTAAGTCGTTCGGAATAAACAACCCACTATACTCATGCCGTTATCTCCAACGCCTTTTGAAACGAAGATCCTAAAGCCAGTTCAGCCATGATTTGAGAGTGAGGGGACTTGAAGAAATCTTTTAAAAATTGTCTTTTGGTCAAGAAGTATATGATCAAAATTAACTAGATTTTGTAAGAGATACATAACATGGTGCACCCAAACCTGGTCTGGTGCGAATGCTTGCTCAGGCGACTTAAGCTATGGTGTGTCCAGTAAAACTAGTGAGGTCAGCACGAATGTCGAAGACCCACAGAACTCTTTGGTTCGAGGATTTATTTGACGCTCCAGTTGCATCTTATTAAGTAATTGAATGTAAGATATTTATGGTTGATAGAAATTGGACCTTTTTATTAATCTCAATGGGAGTTCGGTGTCAGACTTGTCGACTGGCTATCGAGTGAGTGGGTAACTTGTCTCACATAAAAAATATTATGAAATGGGATGAAAACCTGTTTGTGGGCATTTAGTGAAGTGGGTAGTCTACCTTAAACGAAGTGGATATAAGTGCAGCAGTAAAACTCGTCCGACTACGTCAGCTGGAGATAAATGGATGTGTTCTTTATTGGTAAAGTGGAATGAACTGACAGAGCCACACTGCATTTTGTGAGATATATATCACTTATCTCAAACACAGAAACTGGATTCCTCACTAAGTAATCAGTATCACACTCCTACCCAGGCTCCTACTCCTAGTAAGACTGGCAAGAAAAAAATGAACGAGGGGAAATGATATCATAAACTGCTCGTGGTGCTGACTACAACAGAAAAAAGCACGAAAACGACCACTGTGTCATACGCTAGTCGCTCGTTAGAACCAGAAGCCCAGCATCTGAATGTAATTTCAGTAGTGTCCGGGTTCACTGTCGCTGTGATGAAACTGTACCAAGGCAGCACTATGGATTTGTGTTAAGTCACTCCTGTCTGTAGCTTTGGTGGTTTTTCTGCAGCGTAGAAAAAAATAAACAAACGAGACAACTAAAGAGAAAAATAGGACCTCATCAGAAATAACCACAACCATTCATACCAGTATGCCAAATTCGTGCAAGACGGGCTCAGCTTAACATACAACAATGACAGACACAACCCAAGATACGAAAACAACGAAATTACCAGTATTTACGAATACTCCAGTATCTGTTAATAGTAGGGGGCAGTGCATGAGCGTTGGGAAGAGAATTAGCGAAAATGTAGCTTTCAAAATGCTAAAAATAGGGGGCAATGACGGTAAACAAAACTCCCTGATTTCTTTTAGTGTCCCAGTGTCAGAAAGTAGCTTATTAGAGCAAGGACGACCTTCAATAAAGAGCGGAGGCACAAAAGCTACATCACTTTATTCGAATTGTGTCGCTTCTTTAAGGGACAGAACGTTGGAAATCCGAATTACATGCGAAAACCTATGAACCGTAAGACATGTCTTTAGAAGACCAACAAACGCCAAAGAACCAACCTGCATGGTGGTTTATAGACCCAGAGCTGGCAAGTGGTAGTCTGTATGAAGTCCACAAACCCAATATCGAGTGGTGGCGTTAGCGTAACACGGACTCTCGCACCATCACGATAGCTTTACCTCACTACCCCACCCGTTAAGATTCATAACCATTAAGTTTCTGCGTCTGATGGCAGTGAACTTCAGAAGCCGGCAAGACTCCTCTAAGGCTCTTCAGGCCTTGTACTTTGGTGTCGGTTACTATGGTAAGCCCACATAACTTATTCTAGCTTCTGGACAGGTTAGTTTATCCATTCTTCTTCAGACACATTTGACCTTGATAATTATTTACTTATCAACCCTGACCGTTTCGATATGAGTGTATGTGTGTACGTCATATCCTACTCACCACATATCTGAAGCTTATTTTTGATTAACGCTTGGTTAAATGGAGTTGTCCCACACGCCACCTCTACTGCGCGTCATGTTGCTTAGTTCTCCTAGCTTCGCCAATCCGCTTCGCTCTTCCTTCTTTATTTCGTCTCCTTGACTGCCTGTTGAAACCAATGAATGCCTGAAATATACATAATCTAAACCCGTTGTCGTATTGGACTTATTTAATTCCGTTAAACACCATCGCCATTTAAGTCGATGATATTATGCGAGGACTGACGATATATATATATATATATATATATATATATATATATATATATATATATATGTCGACAGCAATCATTAATACGATTTAATTGGAGTCATATCTCGGGCAACAAAAGTGGTGAGCCCGTCGACAACATCATGCGGTCAAATTGACGTCGAAATGCAAGGCCTTATTAAAGTACAGCTAAGAACATCGACACCTCCAGTCACATCGGATGTTGTGAAGGCCTACCCAGATAGGCAAAACAACAACAAGAAAGTCCAAAAGACACACCTTGGCACAACTCACGGTTGAGAACAGAGACAAGCTACTTACAAAACAGAAGACCGATGTTACTGTAGAACAGCATCAGATGATGAAACAAACCATCAAGTGCCTCTATAGCAACCTAAGACTGCCAAGAAGCAGGCTGGAGAAAATCAGAAACATGCTTTATGTTAGACCTGGATATCATAGTCCTCACTGAAACACAGCTATCACCCGACGTCATGGATCAAGAAGTGCAGAATTATTGTTTATCTTGTTGTTCCTACTTCTCTAATAATAGACTTAATCCCAAAATTGCTTATTTGTTATGTGACTATCTAATCTATATAATTTTACGTGGAAGTCACATAATTGCCTATTCTGAATGTCGTATCGTACCGTGATATAGCGTTAGGCGTTTGCAAAGAACACATTTGGGCTGGAGATAAAACAACATATTTAATATTAATAAAAGCGATAAGTTGCACAAGAATGACAACTCATGCAAGGCTGAGTCATGTCATCTAAATGATGAATCTATGTTCACGTGTTCATCCTTCTTATCTCTCTAACATTGTTACATGTTGAAAGTGGATCTCCTCAGTAATTCTATGTTCAGCTTTAAAGGTCGTGTACTTAGGAACCGATACCACTGCAGAAGTGGGCTTGCAAGACGTGACACTTTGCAGATACGATAGGGTACATAGACAGAAGGTGGGGTGGGGGAATACATTAACAGTCACTTCAAAGCCTTAGTTACACACAGTACCGAATTAACTGGGGAGAAAGAAAAATGCTGGTGTTGCTTAAGTTTAAGCGGTACAAAGTACTTGAATAGAGGATTATACCGGCTGCACACGGGTTCTAACACCCAATAACGAAAGATAATACAGGAGATACTAAAGCTGCCTCAGCTAGAGTTTGTCCAAATACTACTAGCTGGAGGTTACAACAACTAGCGATTCCAGAAACCCATAGAAACGTAAGCCAGAATTTTGTCGTTATTCGCTACTCAACTAGATGGAACAGATTACCAGTGAACCTCTGTTGCAGCGAAACTACAACCCGGTTCAAAAGTGCCCTTGATGATTTTCTTTCCAAAAGTGGATTTTGTCACTTTTTGAATATCAATGTGTTTAATAATGATTTATACAAACAAGGTCCGTTATCCATCTATTTGATTAAAAAGCACAATGTACCCTTTGAAACTTTTCACGTCTATTTTATTCTATTTCTATTCATCTTAATATATGAAGCCCGCTCATGTTTGTATCTATAATTATTACTGTTACTGATATCGTTATTGGTACCTCGACACATTAGATATTCTATTCATCTCTTCTTACCCTTCTAAACATGTATTGTTCCTGAACATCCAAAGTCTATAACTAAAGCAAATTACCTCAAGATACACATAAATAAATTAACTTCTCAGATTCATTTTATCTTCAACTATATATATATATATATTATTACATAAATCTATATGTATTTATCCGAGCTCAGTAAAGGATTTTTTATCTTATTTTATTTTTTTCAAATTGCTAGTTTACTTCAGAGGTCGATATTCATTACACAATTATTATTATCATGGTTGAACCCCTTCGCTAGGTGTTCATTTTTTTCCATCTAAATAAATATTATTAAGTTTACGAAGTTTGTAATTAAGACAATAACTTGTGTTACACGTAAATTAACTCATCAGACTCGTTTCATCTTCACTATGTATATATGACTCATACATATTGATATTTCATTATCCTTTTCACTTAAATGAGACTTTCATAGCATCAATCCAGATCATGACTGCACAAACATTTATTCTAGCGTCATATCTTATTGCAGTAATAAGTCATTTTTTCATAATTATAGTTTTGCTACTAATTTGACGACACATACATAGTCGTTTATTCTTGTTCTGTGTTCATTAACCCTCCTATTAAACTATTAGCATATTTCACGTCTCCTTTATTTGAATTCCCTTATTTTCTTCCTTTCCTTCTTTAAACTCAATTCAATATCCTTCTCAATTACACAGAACCTGATTTATTATTATTGTTCTATTATTATTACTCCCTTTTTCAAATATAATGCTAACATTATTTAAACTTGTGTATTATTGCATTGTTGAGGAAACCCGAAATGGTTTCTTTACAACACTTATGTACCCATAAGAGGTTTGTGAATAATAATAATAACACTCCGTCCCTAAGGCTCAGCTGCGAGGATACAACCCCTACAAAGTGGTTCCATAAGTGGCTTTCCATAGCCATTAGAAGTTCAGGACTGACAGCATGTGTGTGGCGACACGAAATGGGACAGCAACAGAAAACACTCCAACTTAGATTATTTACTGATAAGTGATCAGCTTCTGGTTGAGGATGTCCATGTCCACGCACCAAGAGGAATTAGTGACTATGGTGCGGTCATGTTTAACATGGCCACAAACAAGATACCTCGATGGAACGAGAATGTCTTCTACCTTAGTTACGCCAGGGCACACTATATGATGAAAAGGGTGCATCTTCAACACGCCCCATGGCCATGAGAGTGGTGAAGGCTAACAGTAGGTGACCTATGAGGGGCAGTAAGGGATATCATTCAGCACAGTATCCAACACTATGTACCTTATAGTAAGCGCACACCCGGAAAGCGAAGATTTTGGATCAGGCGAAGCACAGAACGCTTGCTACAGTTCAAGCAGAGAGCCTGGCACATTTAGAAAATCTCATTGGCAGAATCTGATCGCTTCTCTTACCTGGCACTGAGAAACATGAAATATCAAAGTTAAAAGCAACGGGAGATGTTTTCAGGTCAAGCTATCAGTCTAAGTGCAAGTTAGTTCCAAGTATCTCCACACATTCATGACCAGGAGATAGCTTGAAAACCAGGGTATGTGTACTCCAAAAGTGCCAAAAAGTAAGAATTTCACTAATTAAAAATGGCAGACCGACTAAATCAGGATCCTGAAAGTGTGACACACCTCTCTACCCTAGTGCTAGTTAAGGGTCCTGAAGATACCCAGCCGACTTCAGGGTTAGTGTTAAAAAGAATCAAATCCCTGTGCCCCGAGGTCAGTCAGTCAGTCAGCTACAACGTAGGACCAGGCACATATGTGCATCGGTCCAGGTTGCCATACCTCATTAGCACAACAAGATGAACACCGGATTCATAAAAGTGGTTAGGTCAAAGGTTGCAATAAGGATATAGTATAGGAAGGAAGAATTAGTTCGTAGAAAGAAAGATATGAAGTGATTTTACTCTCTTAGTTTAAGGGAAGACAAAGAGTGTATACACCGACGCCATTGTGATCGATTCTGAGCCATGTCACCAAGAGTCTCCAACCATTGGTTACGAAAGTCACGCGGACCCCAACCAAGTAGTCTGCATCTACCAACATGGCTAAGACTAGAAGTTAGTGACTTCAAGCACTGACGCCACGTTTTGGTTTGGCCGCCCCTAACTTTCTTCCAACCATCCGGAACACCGGTTAGCATTGCACGTCGTGGTAATCGGTGTTCGGACATACGTAACACGTGGCCCAACCATCTCAGTCGATGAAGATTCATAACCTCATCAACTGATTTACCATCATTCCCTAATACCCTACGTCTAACCTCACTATTACTTACCCGGTGATTCCAGCAGATGCCAGCAATATTTCTAAGGCATCTGTGGTCAAATACTTGTAGCTTACGGGTGCCTTCTACTCTTAAAGGCCATGTTTCGCTGCCGTAAAGTAAGACAGAACGGACTGCCGCGCAGTATACTCGTCCTTTTATTGATAGACGGATATCTCGCCTCCGCCAAAGGTGACGTAAGTTGGCGAAAGCCAAACGAGCTTTTCGAATCCGTGCTGAAATTTCGTCAGACACCAACCCATTAGGACTGATCAGACTTCCAAGATAAGTGAAGTTGTCAACGCGTTCGACTACTTCACTCCCTATCCTTAGTTCAGGTGTTGACGCAGACCAGTCCTGAAGCAACAACTTGCATTTAGAGGGAGAGAAGCGCATCCCAAACATTCTGGCATTGTTGCTTAGTGCTACCAGAAGACTCTGCATTTTATCAGCGTCTTCACCAAACAGGACTATATCATCTGCGTACTCTAAGTCGATAAGTGGACCTCCTGGAAGGAGATCAATACCCGAGAATTCAGTCGACGAGAGTGTTATTTCCATCAATAGGTCTATGATGAAGTTAAACAAAAATGGAGAAAGTGGACAGCCTTGACGGACACCACTTGAAGTTGCAAAAGTAGATGACAGTTCGCCATAAGCCCTGACTCGACTAGTAGTGTTCGAGTAAAGAGCCTTCACAAGGTTTATGTACTTCTGAGGTACACCTTTCAATGACAGACACTGCCCCGAGGGGTCAACAGCATGTGACAAAATCCCACCTATAATCCTGAAACAGTGCTCAAAAGTCAACAGTGCACAGGTGCACAACCCATTCAGGCACTTATTAGATTCTCACCAACTGCCAAGCGAAAGTAAACAGGTCACTCTCCCTCCAATCGTCAAAACGAGCGATAGAAAACACCTAGTCTGTCGCAGACTAACCTCACTGTCAGAGGTGATGGAAGGACTAGCTAGTGAACAAATGTGGGAATACATGGGTAAAAAACATCCTCCACCAAGCCCAACGTGTGTTCAGGAAGGACAGGTCGTGGGCATCCAATTCGCCTATAGCATGGGAAAGCTTGACAACCTGATGGATCCATAAGGTACCAGTTCATGTAACATTCCGCGACTTCACAAAAGCCTTCAACAACACCTCATGTACTTCCCATAATGAAAGTTGCGAAGATGGGTTTCACGGACCCACTTTTATCCTGACACTGGAATACCTGGTGAACATGGCGGTTCGTAGCAAAGAAAATAGAGTGCAGGCGAGTAAGATCTCAACAGTAGGAATTAGTTTCACCTAGCCTACTCAATACGAGGATATTGCCAGAATATCATCACCACGCTCCTCAAGGCAACCCTCCAAAGATCTTACGTGAAAGAGCCAAAAAACGTGCATACATTTACTTTCCGCATTACGAGATGCAGCCATTTAAAATGCTTTTCCGGCCGAAGTGAATTCAACCCCCTCAGTGGACAGCTTCACGAGAAGACCTGACAAACATTTACTCATGGATTACCAAATCCATTTTGGACTAGCTTTCTGATTTATGTCTCATAAATTACCAAGGCTATCACTAACGCATACCAGCAACTCCTTCGTATCATCTCAGTTTCCCCTCTTATTCTTTCAGTCCCATCTTCTTACACATCAACTAATCAACTTATTTATTATTGTTGCAACAGTTAACTTCTTCTGGCAATCGAATTGTCACTTTATTATTTTCACATTAAAATCAAACAACCTTCTTACTGGTAATGTGTTGACTGCTGGTATCCAGAATCCCTATTGCCATGAAACAAACGCACTCAACTACAAGATATACAAATCCACAAATAACTACAACACCGGTAAGGGTTAGTGCAGTCAGTTGGTTGCGTCATCACCTACTGGAACCGTACCGAGATCATAAGAAGCAAGTGCAAAACAATCAATGGGTTTATACAACCACATGACAAAGGTATTGGATATTGGACTCCAACTGGATATTTGACATTTAGGCGGTTATTTGTGGAGAACTAATGACCTTGTTTATCCGGAGATGTGTTTTCAATCTTTCTCCCCTAGTTGAGGTTTCAGCTGCACAGCTGCATTTGGGACACTACAATTCGAAATACAAACTAGTTGTTGATCCTCATAAAGAGGATACTATTAAAAGTGGTTTTGAGAATGTGACGAGATGGCTTATAGTAGCAGATATATTGAGAGGTACTAAATTTACTGATAAACGGTATTGATTATCACAGGTCTACGGTTAACCCTTGGTATGGTATTTAAGGAGCCTGCAACTTTAAACTACCCTTTCGAGAAGGGTCCTCTCAGTCCAAGATTTCGTGGTGAGCATGCTTTACGTAGGTACCCTAGTGGTGAAGAACGGTGTATCGCTTGCAAACTTTGCGAAGCTATATGTCCAGCTCAAGCAATCACTATTGAGGCTGAGCCAAGAGCTGATGGGAGTAGAAGGACAACTAGATATGATATTGATATGACCAAGTGCATCTACTGCGGATTTTGCCAGGAAGCGTGTCCAGTAGACGCCATCGTAGAGGTGACCAATTTGTTCTTTTAAAGTGCTTACTATACTCGTAGTAATAAAGATCATTTGGCTAATTTTCTAGGCTGCATACCGAGCTTTCATTAACGTAACTTTCAGTTGATACTATTACTGTTCATTTTACAACAACAAAATCCAAATCTACTAGGAAATAATTGGTAATACTTTGTGAAGGTTTTAAGTGAAGGACTATTAGTTGACTTGTGGAATCTCCCTTGTGAGTTGATTTTCATAATGAGGGAAATGTGTTTATTCAGTGGCTGACCTAGCAAAACTTTTGCTGAATTTTACTGTTCGTTTAGTAAGCCCTGGTATTTTCAAAGCGTCGTGTTCATATCCAAATTTTGGGTTTAACAACATGATGTAGACCTTTCAAGAGTTATATCTATAACGTCTCGGGCGGCATATGAACGCTTACTAGTGTATTACTCGGAATGATGGAATTTCCACCCTACCCTTTTGTAATTTTAAAGCATTAGGAAATTTACACACAAAACAACGTATGGCTAGTTTAACAGAACTTTCGACCCTGCGAATCGGCCACTAGACTCGTACAGATTACATCACACATTCATTTTCACCTTTTCTGACTTCGTGAATTATCCACTTATGATCCTATTTGTCACATCTTTATTTCACATTCGTTTGGCAGGTGACTAAAGTGCTATTGTCAGTTTCACATTCAACTTAGATACCAAGTGAACCGCATCCATCTGTCATATCCTTGATCTCAAAAGTAAAATTGTCAAGATATCAGCTTATTCAATGTGTTTGGGAAAAACTTTATGTACTCGGAGATTCTTTGTTAGATTAAAGCAGAGGACTAGGTAATTTTAAGGGCAGACATCAGGTTCCTATCTAATCGGTGTTTTTTGGTAGAGATAATCAGTGAAAGCGAATGTGTTTAAACTATCATCCACTCACTTATGATCACTTTAAGGTTTAGCGAGTTTCAAATACCTGATATCTTGACAATTTTATTTTTGAGATCAAGAATATGACAGATGGATGCGGTTCACTTGGTATCTAAGTTGAATGTGAAACTTACAATAGCACTTTAGTCACCTGCCAAACGAATGTGAAATAAAGATGTGACAAATAGGATCATAAGTGGATAAATCACCATCCAGACTATCGCTTATCTCCAAAACTGATCGCCTAACGTTTCTCTCATTTTAACACTGGTATCTGATCGGCAAGTAAATTTTATATGGTTTGGGTGTGTGTTAACAGTTAAACGACATCTTTCGAAAGATTTCAAATGTATATTTAACCTTTGAGTCTTCAGATCTTAGGAGCTATATGTAAGATCAATAAAAGTCAGCTTTTACACACTTTTCAGTTCAAATAGTTACTAAACGTTGAAAATGAAGTCGGACAGTTCTATGAAAAACGTATGTGGTTCATCCTAATTACTAGCAAAATAGCACTTTTATATCAATCACATGATAATTAAGCGTAATATGATTTTGTATGCTAAAAATAAGGTTGTTCGCGTTATATGTAAAGCCGTTCGTATACTTATCGAGTTCACAAACACCCAGCTAATCATCTGTTTAAGGAAAATGTTAATCCCTTACATTCCACTCTGATTATCAGAATTACATTGCCATGGGATGGGAAGAGTCACCTCTCTCTCGAAGTGCTCTCATATGGCTAAATGTATCCAGTCAATACCGTCTCGCAGTAACCCTGACTCCAAACCAATGGTGCACATAGGCTACAGGATCCGGAGGGAACAAATGGCGTATGAGTCAATTATTGGTCACCGGTTACAATGGAACTGCACCTTCTGACGTTGTGCCATTGCCTTGTGGATTAGACCTGTAAGTCAAAGGCTCGAAATATGAATCCCTAAAAAAACCACATGCTTCTGTTTGGACGCCCGGGCAGTATTCCGGTCTTCACAAATCGAATGGTCTGTGTGGCACACCAATATTTGGTACCTCCTTGTACCAATGTTTATGTATTTAAACAAATAAACAATATATCAGAATCACATCTTTCCTAGCACCCATCACAACGCTTTTTGTCTTGTTACTTGCTCAGACCGCTTACATTTATAAGTTCTCAAACAAGGAATACTTCATTTAGGCCTATATAAAAACAAGGTTGAGTTTTGTTTTAGTTAAAAATCCTTACTCATAAGTTTTCACCCACTTTAAATGCATCAGTGGAAATTCGAGATTTGGTTCGTCAGTATCTTCATTCCACAGATCGTTTTGTCTTGTTACTTTAAAGTTGGTCGGTTAGTTTAAATCATTAGGTAGAAAAGTCTAACAAGAAAAAGTAACTAGACAAGCCTCAGTAGTTATAAATCTTATGGTTCATTTGCACATTTTAATTTCATCATTACATCAGCATAACTGCATTGTGAAGTCTAAAACAGTAGTTTTAATATTAAAAGATATTTTAAAAAATACAATTCCTCTTTAAGCTCGATGGGGTGTCAAAAATGAGTAGTTTTAGATTTCAGGAATTGCAAGTCTAAAACACGAGTTTAGGTGTTTTATACTCTTGCATTTATTTTATCAAATGTAGCAAATTAGACTAATGCGTTACTGTGAAAGCTATTACTCTGTTCAGTCTAACTTCCTCTGTAAAATTAATGGATTTTTACTAGAAGGATATGATTTTTTGACAGGTTATGTCAATTTAACTGTAATCTTAACAACTGTTCGTGTGCTAAAGATGGAACAGTTCTAAGCACACTTCTCTGGTAGATAGATAAATAAGTTGTATAAGCCACCAGACTACAGCTTAGTCATAGAGGCTCTTCGGTGTCTCGAAGGAAATCGATGTCACGAGAGAAGTCACTACCTTTTAAAATGAGTTGGAAGCTTAATTTTTCTAACCTCCCACTTCCAAAACCCTTTTGTGGTCTATGGATGGCGTTGTTACTTTCGATTAATTTCCAACTAAGATAACTAATTTTCTAGTTTGTTTTCTCTTCTGAATTTCAGGGACCGAACTTCGAATATTCTACTGAAACACATGAAGAATTACTGTATAATAAAGAAAAATTGCTGCAAAATGGTGATAGATGGGAAGTCGAAATCTCAGAAAACCTAAAAGCAGATTATGTGTATCGATGAAGTATCATTTCGTTCATGTGGTTTGTAAATGATTTAATTCACAGGATCTATGCACTACTAATTTCATATTTAAACAACCAATATCAACTTTTCTCATATGTTAGATTGTTAACGAATTCAAGACAGCTGGTTATTCCTAGGTACAGTGATTTAGAATAAAATAGAGCTTTTGGCTTTGTCCTAGTTTCTTTTGTTTTTTGTACGTATATATCAGTCAGTCGTCTACAACTTAGGACCAGGCACATATATGCATCGGTGCAAGTTGCCGTGCCTCATTAGCACAACAAGATGAATACCGAATTCATAGAAGCAGTTACTTCAATGGTAGTAGTATATATAAAAAAGATGGCATCTAGAAATATGATACAGTGAAGAATCAGTTCATAGAAAGGTGTAAAGTAATCTTTATCTCCCGGTTTCACAGAAGGCAAAGAGTGTATACACCTACGCCATTGTGATCGATTCTGAGCCATGTCACCAAGACTCTTCAACCGTTGATTACGATAGTCGCACGAACCCCAACCAAGTAGTCTGCATCTACCAACATGGCTCAGACCAGGAGTTAGTGACTTCAAGCACTGACGCCACGTTTTGGTTTGGCCGCCCCTAACTTCCTACCATTCATCTCCGAAACTAGTCAGCATTGCGCGTCGAGGTAATCGGTGTTAAGGCATACGTAATACGTGGCCCAACCATCTCGGTCGATGAAGATTCACAATCTCATTAACTGATTTACCATCATTCCCTAGTACCCTGTGTCTAACCTCACTATTACTTACCTGATGATCCCAGCAGATGTGAGCAATATTTCTAAGACATCTGTGATCAATTAATAGTAACTTATGAGTATCCTCTACACTTCGCAGCCGTGAAGTAGAACAGAACGAACTGCCACGCAGTATACTCGTCCCTTAATTGATAGACGGATATCTCGCCTTCGCCATAGGTAATGTAAGTTGGCAAAAGCCAAACGAGCTTTTTGAATCCGTGCAGAAATTTCGTCAAACACCAACTCATTAAGGTTGATTAAACTTCCAAGATAAGTGAAATTGTCGACGCATCCGACTACACTTACTGCGCATATATATATATATATATATATATATCATTCTAAACTCATTAGCAAGTATAGGAAAGTAAGACAAGCTAACTTAAAAATATATACTACCTAACACTGGATACTACCCATTTCGAAAAATCCATGGCGACTGTAAATTAGATTACACTTATATTGTTGAAATTAACGAAGTTAATTTTCATTTGTCTCCTTAGACTCATTCATAGTAAGATGAGGTTAAATACTACCAGTTACGCAATCAGTATTCAACATGTTCTTGACAGGTCTTTACGCACTGAAAATTTTTAAGAGGAATTAGTCATTCCAAAGTTCAAAAAGTAGGGACCAATAAAGTCAAAATCGTCGGTTTTATTAGTTGCATTACCAGTTCGATGCTGTTACGAGAAGTATATTTCTGGAGGGTTGTCTAGGAAATCCTCATTCGTCATAAATAATGGGGAAAGCTCACTTGCACATGAAGTAGATACTAATAATGACCAGAGCAACAATGAATGTTTCCTAATTACAGCTATTCTATAGGTCATAACAAAACATCCACCTGAGTTTTAAGCCTTCTCTATCACTACTATTCTTACAATTTGTGTTGTATGGAGTTCTAAGTGGGTTGAGACTTCTCGAATAAACTATCCCCGACAAGTGGGCTCGTCACTTTGAAGCGGCACTTCCCAAATCTATTTTGCTATCTATCTAGACCACTTTACTGACTAATCAACATGCATACTTTTGCAATTACTCTAGAAGGTGGCTTATAGAAATTTTACTTTGGTTAATTTTGCAGCGGTGACGATTGTAATGACTTGGTGTAGTAGGTCACGATTGTTGTTCACAGGACAGTCTAATTATCTCTCGTAATTCAGTGATAATATTTCAGTATTACCACAACAACACGTACGTCTATCTATACTTGAAAGAAGCACCTGTATTGGAAGGACGATTTACATCACTACATTGAATTGGTTGAAAGGTATTCTGAATTTACTGAGGAAGATTGTTCATTCATCTAACTATTTAATTTTGTGCCTAACGAAGTCGTGATATTCAGTTATTAGTCTTGTATGTATTAACTACTTGCTAAGATTTAAGTAGCCAAGTAATTTGTAGAAGTAGTAAGCAGAAAAACTCGTATTCATAAAATTATCTGACAGAGGAATACTAAACAGGCGATTAGGGTTTCATTAAAATTATTCCCTGTTAGTGAGTGCTGTAAATTAAGAAGATACTCTGAAACTTCCTTTCATCGCACAATATATTTGTTTTAATTGTTAAACGCATATTTTTTAACATCATACTTTGTGTGTCATGTTTATATTCAATTAAGGTTACAAACTAAAAGTATCATTCTATACTTTGCTCATGCTCATTTGTTAAGTGAAGAAATACAGTGAATATGGACAAATTTCTTTTATTCAAATATTGATTGAGTGATTTGGCTTTAGGCTAGATTCTCAAAGTTTTGATGATGAAGTTCAGCGAAGTCAAAATCGAGATACCCACTCACTAATGACATTAAATGATGATCGCACCGTGTTTCAAATTGAAGAAAAATTAAATTGTGAATCATTGACTTGTGACCTGTCTGGTTAAGTATGTTTTCCTGGTCGGAAAGATTAAACGCCCTTAGTTCCATCTCATTTGGGGTCATAAGTGTGCATCAGTAAGAAGTCTCAAAGTATGACTAGATACTTACCTTCTACTACATGGTTCTCGGTAGTTTTTATTTGGGCTAAAAACGAACTGACTAACTATTTAGTCATCTGCTGATCTGTTTATTTTGCTCATCATTGTTTCTTGATAATGTTCTCTTTTCTAATCATCACATCACAATAACAGATAGAAAGTGAAAATCAGCAACCAAAGTAAACGTATTTGCTTCTTTCATTTTTTTTGACAAATAACATATGCCTAGTATGCGTGACTGTCGAGCTGTCTTCATCATTATAAAATTTATTATTACTGTGTAAAGCTTGTGTACATTAAAAACTAAAAGGAGGAAAGATTTAAACGTGAAAAAATTTAATTATAATCAAAAATTTTCCCAATCAAATCAAAGAAAAAAGAGAATAGGGGATAAATACATCAAATATTCAACTGGAGTATAACATTTAGCGCAAAATTGACTGTTGGTTAGTAATTTAATCTACACGCGAATGTATATGTATGTATTTATAATCAGATAATTGTTTAGAGATTAAATTGAAGACAACAGAGTAAAAGCAGAAAATTTAACTACTGCTATCTGTCTACGCGAATGCTTCTCATCATTATCGGTCATCAGTTCTACAATAATATATGTGTACTCATTTGGTTTAAATAATCAAAGAAACTTGTAGAACAAAATAGGAAACAAACAACTGATTATCAAAGTGAGATTCATCTCTTAAATAAAAGAAGACCCAGTAATGTATATGTAACTGAATAATTTCTAACTAGAGTAATGATCATTTACTTCAATATAAAAAAAACAATCCATATTCCCACCTTTTCTTCTGGTTTTCAAAAGACTATCTAGATAATTTTGTTGTTACTGTACATTCATCTATGTGTACTAATTTTATGCGTGTATACTCAAGTTGACAAGTTCATTTGATTTGTTTTCTAACTAAAAGAAAATATATGTATGTTTCTTTCTTAAAATAGAACGTTTTCTTTAAATAAAACTTACTTTTCTCCATAGTTTCATATCATCATCATCATCATGTCAAAATAGGTAATAAAACACGCACATAAAGAATGCCAAATAAAATGAAATATTGAATGATATATGATATGATAAAGATCGAGAGAGGGAGAGAGATGTCATAAATGAAATAAATTATTTTCAATTGATTTGTCATCACATTTGCTAGTTGCGTGTAGTTTGTTTACAAATAATTTTACAGATTTTCTACTTCATTACTATCAATTTTACTATTATTATTATTATTATTATTATTATTCAGTAACTAGTCATAAATTAAAGTATTTCAACACAAATATGTATTAACTAAGTATAGAAGTATGAAAGTGAAAAGTAGTTTATTTTTTCTGATTACTTTATAGTGTATTGTGTATAGACAGATAAGATGTTGTTATCTTTCGATTTTCTTTTTCTCCATTTTTTTCCGAATTTGTATTAAAATATAAATTTCATACTATAAATGTAATTATTTTGATGACAAGTTGAAAGGAGGGGAAAATGTTCTGGAGAATACTTATCATCAAATATATGTATGTCATTAGAAAAATCTGAGTGTGTGTGTACGTTCGCTTAATTGTAAGTATCTATTTAGTTGTTTAAACAACTAACTTTATAAGTAAGCAAATGTTATTTTTTTAAGGATCAATTTAATTTGTAAATTCTCTATAGTGTAATGAAACAACACTGTTGATTCAAAAAGTATGTATTTAATTGGGTTTTTTCTGTGTTACAAATACTTGGGTAAAACTTTCAGGAAATCAAACATTAAATGCTGTTTAGAGAGATAGCATATTTTTATGACAAGGTATTATCAAATGAACCGTAAAAACTCGATGGGCGATAGTAGAGGACATGTTAGTTTTCTCTAGTGGTGACGGTATTCAACATGGGTGGTCGATTATAATTTTCAGTAAATGGTTTTGATGATTGTTGATGAACTGGATTTAATAAGTCATCAGTTTACGCGATTCTAACGAATTATATAACGGCGAGGCATCTTAGAAAACCGGTTTCTGTGGAATTCAAAGGGAAATTAGCTAGTACAGATAGGGGAGATTTTGAAGAGAATAAGATTAAAGTAACCAAAACTTAGAAACATAACGCTTTATAATCTCACTTCCCTAGTTTATTGGGTATAGTAGTGAACTTCCAAAAACTACATATTCACTCTTAACATTACCCTACATTAAAGTGACACAATATAAAAATTAATAACTGTTAATTATATAAATTACAGTAAACAATAACAATTTTTTTCAAAAAATTATAACATTTAAAATGATTTAAAGAATATTCGGACTAACTTCAGGATGAATATAACGAAATTGTATTTGAACATATGTAGGGAGATTGAAATTTCCGATGGGTAACTATTCTAGAAACCTAAGAATGTATATTGGACAGTTTCAACAAAAAGAGACGAAATGT